AGCACCTACATGGCAGCTCACAACTGTCTGTGACTCCACTCCCAAGGGATCTGACACCCTCTTCTGGCCCCCTAAGGCACTGCATGCACATGACATAACAGATATAAAACCACCCATACACAGAAAATAAAAAGACAAAAAAAAAAAATAGTGTGGAAAAATTCAACTAGGCTTTACATTTAGAACTTCCTTCTTGGTTTAGTGACCACATCTGGTGATACTAAAATAATGATATGCATGTTCTCTGAACATGCTGCACAGAGATGCCTAAACAACAGTTTATGAAGGGAAGGAAGGAAACGTGTCCAGGTATAAGAACCTGTATGTTAGGAGCCCTTGCATCCCTGGGAGCTCTGACTTGGCATTTTAAGTGAAGTTCCTATTTCAACCTTTAGTAAGCCAACAAGTAAGAAACATGAAAAAGCCGGGCGGTGGTGGCGCACGCCTTTAATCCCAGCACTCGGGAGGCAGAGCCAGGCGGATCTCTGTGAGTTCGAGGCCAGACTGGGCTACCAAGTGAGTTCCAGGAAAAGGCACAAAGCTGCACAGAGAAACCCTGTCTCGAAAAACCAAAAAAAAAAAAAAAGAAAAAGAAAAAAAGAAATAAAGAAAAACCAGAATCAGTTCTCATATATAAAACTTGATAGTTATACAAAAAAAAGTGTAAACTGGGATAAGTATGTATGTCAACAGAAAGGGTAAAATAACCTTGAGGGGAGCAAAAGGCTGAGAATTCAAACCTCTCAGGTTCTTGGAGTGATTTCTCCTACATGTTGTGGAAATGAGACCTCTGATGACTTATGGACCAGTCCAGCCTTGCAGAAATCCTACTAGACAAACATGGTAAAATTGCCCCTGTTTGGAACAGACTTGTAACATGAGGAAGGGACTGTTAGCCAAAAGGAAAGGAGTTGGGGCCACTCTTGCCTCTGTCAGAGCTGAGCCCTCATAATGGAGCAGGAGATGGCCACTCACTGCTGACTCTAAACTGAGTCTACATGCCACTGACTGCACACATTCTTGTACTTTAATCAAGATCCGTTTACATTCCCTGCCTCTCATAGAAGGTCTTATGGGAAAATAGCAGAATGCAAGCCCAGAATATTTCATCAGCTGCTTTGTGCCAGACTGAATTTCTTCAGTTTATATTTAGAATACTTAAGTTGGCAAGAAGCACCAAAAAAAAAAAAAAAAAAAAAAAGAAAGAAAGAAAAAAAAAGCACACTCTGAAGTAGCTCTTGTATAAATTACAGTCCATCAGTGTCACACAAATCACCAAAACTTAGAAATCCTAAGAATTTTATTTATAAGCTATGTTTTTTTTCCAATAAAAAATGAAAACACTGAGAAACACAGAAGAATTTTCATGGTTGTCATCTCCCCTCTCTACATTGACAGGCTCGATCTCAGGAAGGCTTATTCCCTTTATCTTCACTAATTAAAAAATTAAAAATGTTTTCATCTGTTTTCACTGGATGGCTTGATGACATCTCTTTTCAAGACTTCTTTTCTAGATGTAAAGATGAAAAGCACCTTTGTTTTCTAACTAGAGTATCGTCTTCTACGACATTAGTTTTCATCACGCTCCGTGAAAGGGGGATATCATAGTCGCCCTCATTTATTGGCAAATAGTCTTATATTTCATTTATGCTTTCAAGTGTTTCATCGGCAATCTGTGTCAAGCTGTAAAATTTGCCGCCTCTCCCCAGAACAGCTTATGAAATCTGTCAGCTCGCTGTGTAATTTACATGAACCTTAATTATGAATCAGTGTTACGTTATGAATAGAGGTGTTCAGCACTGATGCCTTCAATGCTCTGTAAGCAATATGGCTCTTACGAAAAGAAAAAAACAAAAAACAAAACACGTTATTTCTCCCCACCTCTTACTTCTGGGTGACCGATCCTGTGGATAGGCACATACAGACATTTCTCCTGATCTGATGGTCAAATTCTAAGGAAATGATGCATGAGCTATGGATGTTTTACATTGCAAATTGGCAAGGACATTTCCTACTGGAAAAATGAAAACCTCCTGAGACCATTGCTGACTGACACTATATTTTATCTGCACACTGAAACAACACACTTATCAAATGAAAGAGAAGAAGAAAAATTACAAGAGATTTGATCTCCTTTATGGCTTCTAATAGCAAAATACACTGTATGATTAATGAACCTGTCAGTTGTAATGGGAAGAATATGTAACAAGTAACTGTGTATTACTCGTTTGTGATTTTATCTTTTATAAATTCAACCATGTGTAGTGTGATAAGATAAACTCTAAGGTAATATTATAAAGCAAGCTGAAAACCCAGTCTGTTCTATTTTTGCCTCTCTGTCCATTGATAATGTGACTTTTAAGAACACATTTCCTTCAATCGATAATTACTCAATTAGCACTTATTAAGTTTAAATGTCAATAAATTTCATTACCAGGTGTTTGCAAGAGGAAAAAAAAATACCCTGGCACTCTTAGTGCGTGTGATATGTCTATAAAAAATTTATTCTTTAAATGTGTTCTTTGGTGGATTTATTAGCCCATATAATATTCATAGAATTCAAGCCTAGACATGCAGCCACCATTACTCAGAAATGTATGCAAAGCTTAAGTTGGGGAGCATAGGATACTGAAAACGCCATTTTAATATTAGATATATTATAAAGACAGAAAAGGAAATAGGCAGAGGAGGAAAGGAAGGGGGCCAAGCAGAAAGCAAGCAGCAAAGGAGGGTGGAGGCAGAGAGGAAAGAAAGGCAGGAAAGATCAGGGGTGACAGGGAGGACAAGCAGCAGAGCCGGTAGGGAGATCTGGGAGAGACGTAGTCACTGGTCACCAAACTGAGGCTCAGAGCAGACAGATCACCTACTCATGATCTGAGACCCAATATTTTATAGTGATACGAACTAGATTTGAGCAGACGATGCTGGCTTTCAGCCACAATCAGCAAAATGAGATCCCAAAGGGGTATGGTTTCCACAAAGAGATGGCACGACTGTGAGGGGAAAGGAAGAGTGGATATTCCACTTGCCAAACAAGAGGACATAGGCCACTGGGAAGTGAATGTAGATGGGGAGGACACTGACATGTTGTAAAAGACCTCACTTACCTTCCATTGGACACATTGGCTGTCTACACAAAGTCGCAGTTCATGATCTGCCTTTTCCATAATGAAAACTCTGTTCTGTAATTTTTCCAGAGGGTGACATATTAGAAAGACATGTGGCCATAAGGAAAATATCTGGAGGGGCTTGTATAGTTGACATTTTAGGCTGGGCCATTGACCATTGGGAGATCTATGCATAGCTAGGGCTCCGCCTCTTGGAGAATGTATGTAACTCCTTTGACTGTCATGTCCATAGATACAGGAAAGGGGATGAAATGTCTGCCTCAAGGGATCTGTAAGGAAACTATTACATCTGGCAGAGAATATCGAATGCTACCATTCTGAGTGTTGAAACAAGCATCTGAAGTTCAGCTCAACTGTTAATTTAACAATCTATTAAATGGAGAGTTGTAGATGTATATCTATAAGTTTAAATGTATGATTTATTCCTATACTGTTTGATGCATTCCAAGCTATAATTTGATATGTATAAATAACACATTAATCGATAGATTGTCCCACAATCTTAAGAGAAATTCAAATTGTTTTTCGTTTATTTGTTTGTTTGTTTGTTGTTTTTTGACAAATACTTTGGGAAAGAGTCAATCAGTGGTGGAACAAGGGAAAACTGCTGGGATGCTATGAGATTTAACTGTTTGAGTGTGGGCATGTTTGCATGGGGTGAGACATAGAAGGTTGAAAGAGGCATGAGGTTTTTGTTTGTTTTGAGGTTTTGGTCTTTATTTTGGTTTGTTTGTGACAGGGTTTTTTGTAATCCATATTATAATCTTGATCCTCCTACCTCCTCCTCTGAGTGCTTGGATTACAGGCATACACTTTCATTCACTGTTGGTTCATTTGGTACTGGAAATCAAACCCAGGGTTCCATGCATGCGAACTGAGTACACTACCAAATAATCTACCTCTTTGGCCTAGCAATATTTTTAAAGGCCAAGATCAGCCTTAATAACAATGATTTCAGTAGTAAACACCTATAGGAAGTGAAGAGTACCCAACAAAAGCCAGACTTTGGAAAGTACCTTATAGCCACAAACGTGACCTTCCGTGTCAGTCGTAAGCATTGGAGAGTGTTGCCTTCACTGTGGTTATGATTTCAAGAAGTTACTCAAGATACGCTATCTCATTTAGAAAAAAATATGATTTAGCAGATTGTCTATATTTTTAATTATGTGTGTCTATATCTATCATTGATCTTATACATCTACTCACTATGATATCTAAAAAATAAAGAATTTCATCTACTAAAATAAACTCCTTAAGTGATATACACAGACAATAGTAACAATACTGTATACTATTGGTGTGTAATCTAACACTGAGATTATAAGAAACAGGTGACCAGCAAACCAAAAAATGCACATGGCAAATATTTATGAATCTTCATGCATAGGGATATTTCTTCTGTACTGAAATTCATTATTTCTTCCTGCATGGCACCCCCAGATCCCTGTGAGTTTGTTCTTCTGCATGTTGAGGACATAACTTACGCATGCCTGAAATCTTCCTCACAAAGTAACTGTGCTTGGAGTCTTAGTTGCTGTCTAATGAGTAACACATGGGATGCATGTGGTATCTTCTAACCGCCTATAACCAAAGCAAAAATCAAGCCACAGTTACATACAGACTCCCCTTTTATTAAACCCCAAATGTTTTCAATTTGAGGTTGAAGTTCGCTTTAGGACAATGGTAGAGTCAAGTTTCTTTGAGATATTTCCTAAACTACCCCCACCCCATTCTCATACCCCATGGCCAAAGAGTCCCTTTTAGGGTTTCATTTGCCCTCGTTTATTTTGTATATAAATGAAGGAAATAAGTGTCTTAAACATCCATTAGTGAAAACAGTTTTCCTTTAATTATAAAAATATATAACTTGACTAAAACAGTTACATTCAATAAAAGTACCAGTAAATTTTACTACCCCGTGATTTCTAAGCAGTTATATTTTTTTTTTGTTTTTAGCAATTAGCTATCTTTTAAGAATTTTTTTTACCACTGGCTTTTCTTCAGTCTTAGGATTAAAGACAGTAATAGTACATTTGCAATTAGTTAAATCAATTTTCTCGGTCCCTCAAAAGATAGAGCATGTGCATGCATATGTGTGTTTGTCTATTCATTGAAATTTTCTTCTCAATAATGTTGATTAACTATTGTATATCAACTATAAACTTGATTTTTTTGTCTCTTTATAATTAGAATCTTTGTATGTTATTCAAACTTGGATCAAAAAAGAATCACAGAAAATCAAAATTCTAATATTAGTCACTAGTAAGTTCTTTTTGCATCATGGTATAAACAACACAAACAATTGGCTCTCCATTTCTCTAAATAGATTGAGTTGCCAAAATAAAGTAACACAAATAAGTTGGAGTTTCTTCTCATCCACTTCCAAGATCTTCACAGAAAGCAATGGGTAACAAGTTCTTCATCACTGCTTAGAGTGACACACTAAGACAAAGGAATGAGCACACTTTTCAAGTTTTGTTAAGCAATACAGACAATCATTTGTTTCCTACTAAAATCCTAGAGACAGACATGTCCCTGGTGGCTTGTTATTTTCTACCCTTCCAGCTTAGTGTATATAGTCCTCATTTCAGAAGAAACATAATTGGGGGGTCTCATCTTCGATGTGGGATGTATTTCTTTATGCTGTAAATATGTGTTGCTCTCATTAGTTGATGAGTAAAGCTGCTTTGGCCTATGGCAAGACAGGATAGAGCCAGGCAGGAAATCCAAGCAGAGGTACAGGAGAAGGGTGGAGTCTGGAAGACACTATCCAGCCACCTAAGGAGCAAGATGTCAGGAGACCTAATGGCAATACATAGATTAATAAAAATGGGTTAATTTAAGTTGTAAGAGCTAGTTAGTAATAAGCCTGGGCCATCGGCCAAACATTTATAATTAATATTAAGTCTCTGAATGGGTATTCAGGAACTGGCAGGAGGGAGAGAAACTTCTGATTATACATCTTAGTCTGTTTTAAGCTGCTATGATAGGGTACCAAGAACTGGGTAATTTCTAATAAACAGATATCTGTGTGGCTCAAAGGTCAGGAGGCTATAAAGTGCAACAACACGGCACCGCACATGTGAGGGTCTTTCCACTGTAGTTGCCCGTGGTGGACACCAGAGACTGCTAGACGGGGCAGAACAAGAAAAGACTGAACTTGCCTGTCTGATAAACTTTCCATTATTGATAAAGCCCCAAATGATGATACTAATCCATTCATGAGGGCAAAGGAATCATCACAGAATTGTCTCTCCTGGACCCTACCTGCCAGTGTAAGCATTGTTTTTTCACTTTATATTTTAAAGAAGACATCAAGAGTTTTATAATTGCTTACAGCTGTAGTCAGGAGAAATATTTTTTCCCTAACATCTTTTATCATATGCATTCTACCAAGCCATTTCCTTCTTGGTGGGATACAATTAGGTTGATGCAAGGGCTATATTTTATTTTTGGAGGCGTGTATGATTTTCTTTATTTTTTTATTATTTAGGTTTTTTTCCATTTTACATACCAACCCCAGTTCCCCCTCCCTCTCCTTTTCCCACCCCCCACCTCCCCCCATTTCACTCCCCATCCACTACTCAGAGGAGGTAAGGCCTCTCTTGGTTAGTCAACAAAGTCTGGCCTACCAAGTTGAGGCAGAGCCTAGCTCCCCTACCCTGCATTGAGTCTGAGCAAGGTATCCCACCACAGGGAATGGACTCCAAAAAGCCAGTTCATGTACCCTGGATAAGTCCTGGTCCCACTGCCAGGAGCTCCACAAACAGATCAAGCCACACAACTGTTACCCATATTCAGAGGGCCTAGTTTGGTCCCATGCAGGACTCCAGCTGTCATTCCAGAGTCCATGAGCTCCCACTAGCTCAGGTCATGATCTCTGTGGTTTTACCCATCATGATCTTGACCTCGCAAGATCTATATTTTTATTTAATTTTGTTATTGTTTCATATTTTGTATTTATTACAGTGCTGGGGGGTGACACCAAGGACCTCTCACATGCTATGCAAGCACTGTACCACTGAGCTACTTCTCCAGCCCTCTGTTTTAAATGATAAATTTTCAGATATTTCCTGGTGGTTGGCATTTAATAAAAATTAAATAAATGAGTGTGAGTAGATGAATTGGGAATCTACACCAACTCTCACTGAAGATTAGCTTTGGTGATGTTTTAAGCTCTATAGCAGAAGAGCCAGAGTACCATAAATGTCTGCCAGATAATCAATATCACTGTCACCTCAGACAGGGTCTGTTGTCTGCTCTGCTTGACATGTGGACCTTTGCATGCATCCATTCAAGGCAAACACTAAGTTCACTCAGATCAGGAGTTCTGCTACAAGCCCTGTATTTGGCTTCTTCTATAGGAACAAGATAATCACAGCAAGGCATCTGGAAAACAGTAGATCTCAACAAAAGCTGCTGATTTAAAAATTGGGCTGGAGAAATGTCTCAGTGCTTAAGATCACTGGCTGCTCTTCCAGAATACTTGAGTTCAATTCCCAGCACCTACATATTGTCCCATAACTATCTATAATTACACTTCCAGGGGATTCAATTCTGTCTTCTAGCCTCTGAGAGCACCAGATGTGGACATGTACACAGACATACATGAAGGCAAAACACCGATACACATGAAATGAATTTTCTAATTAAAAATAAGGAAATGTGAAGGGTAAATTAAGACTTTCATAGTTGGGAATTAGGTCACCAAAAGGTAAAATAAAAAACATTTGCCCAAACAAAGCTATCTACCATCCACTTCAGACTCTCCTTGCAAGAGTCATGTTGCTTTACTTTTCTCTAGTAACATTTCTCATCACTCCTTTATCCTTTTGAGGCTGCCATTAATGGTGTGTGTGTGTGTGTGTGTGTGTGTGTGTGTGTGTGTGTGTGTGTGTGTGTGTGTGTGTGTGAAGTAAAAGAGGGCAGGAAGAATATGATCTACCCTAGGATACAATCCAACTCCCTCATCTCTACCTAAGGCTAAGATTATCCAGAGTACTTCAAAATGCCCATTAAGTACCAGAGACAGTCATCCATCCACAAAAAAGGAAAACTGATAGGGGAAGTGAAGAGTGAACACATTAGAACTAAGCCTGGGAATGGAATTCTCAGCTGCAAGAGTAGAAACTGGGCAAAATCTCACAGCATCTCTCTTTGATTAAGAAAGCTGTGGATGGAACTGTGCTCCCTAAAGAAAATACAGATATGAGGTTAGTGATTATCATTTGGAAACAAGTATTAGCTACCACAGGAATATTTTTACCACTTTTCCAGGATTGTTTCTGTGTTTCCCAGGGAGTTACTTCCCACTTTAATTTTAATGTTGGTCATCTTGTTTGCATTGACTGTTTGCCCAGGCTTAGACTCACCACAAACTATTTCCAAAGAACACTCACTTTAAAGATTTTAGGTCTAGGACTATTTTCCACTCGTAAAATATAGCTTTTCTGCAATTGTTTTCTTATACATTCCACTTATGATTTCCCCTCTTCTACTAACTTAATTTTCATGCCACTCTCCATTTTTTTTTCTGAAGCAGGAAGTGTTCTACAATGTGCAAAAGAGGAATTTTTTATTTGGTGTGTTATTTCACAATACAGGATTTGAAAAGCAAAAATCTATATGGTGTATTTTACATCAATTATTTTTAATTAAAAAATGGCAAATGAATCCAGAAAGACTGTCACTGTGGTCTTTGCATGCTGTAATACAGGCACTAGTGGTACTTGTGGTGTTGGCAATTGTTTTATGTAATTACTCCTGTTGTGTGAACATGTGCCAGAACATCCGTCTAATTAAGATTTTTGACAACTCATTTCTTTGGCTGTTGAGATGCTATTGAACAATATCAAGTGGTTGATTTTTAGACTAAGTTCTAACATGAATAAAAATACCCAAAAGACACATGCATTTAAACTGAGAGTGTAGTTTCCCTAATGACTCTAGTTCCTATTTACAAGGAAGAGAATAAAAGGCATTTAACACAGAGAAAGGTATGATTATTTGGACTGATACATAAATGGAGTATTAAGTAAGCAAATGTTAAGGACCACTAGACAGGACTTTCTCTCCAGAAATATCTGTCCCTGGAACTGCATCATTAGAAATCAAATCACATCAGATCAAAATGTTTCTAATATTTCAGAGTGCTTTGGAGTCTTTAGCACTGTATATTAAATCTTAGTGTTACTGAAAAGGGTGGTCCCTAGTGGTCTCAGCAGCTATACCATATGGAAATCAGCTGACAGATGGCAGAACAGGGTCTTTAGAAACGGGATGCACAGAAATATCTGGCTGGGACATTACCAGGAGGAGGGTCAGAATCCCGAACCCCAATGTGAACACTGCCTGGTACTAAACATGGTTCTTTTGGGCCAGATGACATGTAAACATGCTTCTGAAAGTGAGCCTATGCAACTGGAAATAGTGGAATTATGAATCAGATACCTTCACCTAATCATTGAATACATACAGCTCTTTGGTTTCAGAATTTTTATATGCACCAGAAAACAATAATAATACAAATTTGTGTTTATGAAGATAAATTCAAAGGAATAAATGCCAATCAACTTACCACTCTTGTTTGTTCTTTCTCTACAGAGAAACTGTATAGAGAAAATAACTGCAGAGAACAAATTGGAGCGATGCATGCTGAATTAGAAATTGAACATGTTGAACTAAATGAGGTAAATGGACAGCAGCTGGCATCTCACTGCTGGAGTGAGAGTCTCCAGATAACAAGAGAAGTTAGAGTTATCCATATGGCGATAAATTAAAATTGGAGATGTCAGTACACATTCCTATTAACCTAATATGTACACAAATGGTCACATGGCTATGTTTATAAGTGTATGTATACACACTTTCAAATATTCACATGTATTTTCTTGCCTGTCAGTGAGAGATCTAGGGAGCAATGGTGCCCTAGAGTCAAGGAGAAAACTAAGAGCCTGGGTCCTGATTTCTAATACCATTCCTGAATAAGCAGTCTCCATGGAGAAATTGCTTTCTCTAGACCTAAAACAGAAAATAAATGAAATGAGCCTGGAGTATTGCAGTGCCAGCAAGTGGGGCAGTTGGAAACAAGCAAATAAATAAACAAGACTCCCCCAATGATGGAGATGTGACAAAGGATCAGAGTTGACAGAAAGAACTCCCATTGATTATATCTGGAACCATCCGATCTATAAAATAAATATAGAATTACTCTAATATTGTACAACCATAAAATAATTATATATTAATATTATTAATTGGTTAAGTATACAAACAATATAATTTCTTCTAAATAATTTGTGTAGATTCTCTGAATTTACCATTCCTTAGTGTGGGCAAAGTACTATACTCCATTTCAAAGAGTACAGTCTAAAAGGGTGGGGGGGTAAAAGAAATTTTACAGCAGAAAAACCTGCCAAGCTCTCCTCAAGGCTGTGGCCAATGTCAGCATCAACAGTAGGCAGCCATATTCATAGTTGTGCACTTTTATAAAGTATGATTATTCATTTATTTTATTTTGTGTATGCGCGAAGAAGCTCTCAGAGCACAAAGGACATCAGATCCCCTAGAACTGAAGTTCCAGGTAGTTGTGAGCTACCGGGTGTTGGAGCTGGGACCTTACACACGTCTTCTGCCAGAGCCACCTCTCTAGCCCCATAAACTGAGCTCCTGATGCAACAATGAAAGGAGACAAACCAAAAGGAGGAGGCTAAAAGTGGAGAATTGGAGTTTTGTAAGATAAACAAGTCTATAGATCAAAGGGTCAGCTTGAAGACTATAGTTAATAATATCACACGTGGAAA